CTACTATATATATATATATATATATATGCTACAAAAAGTGATGAAACAAAATTAAAACCACAATCACAAATTTATAAAATGTAATCCTTACTTTGTCCTACAGATAAGTGTATAAAGCTGCCAAATTATGGATTAAATTTTATAAATTTGTGATTGTTATGGATTTTGCACAAAGCTACATGAGGGCTATCTGCACTAGCCATCCCTAATTTAGCAGTGTAAGACTAGAGGGAAGGTAGCTTGTCATCACCACCAACTCTTGGGCTACTCTTTTACTAACGAATAGTGGGATTGACTGTCAGATTATGATGACCCCATGGCTGAAAGGGTGTTTGGTGGGACAGGGATTCGAACCCACGACTCTCAGATTGCGAGTGGAGCACCCTAACCACTTGGCCATGCCGGACCACCATTGTGGTTTTAATTCTTGTTTCATTACTTTTCTTAGGATCCCAACTGCATTTTAAAATTCATAACTTTTTAATACTCTTGTTTGTTTACTTTTATGTTATACTTGTATAAAGTATATACTTTACCTTTAAAACTGTCATTTGTCTATCCATCATCATGTAGTGCCATCTGTTGGTTTTAACTGGGTTGAAAAGATATTTAAGTATGTACATGATATGTTTACCATTTATAAAAATTCTGTATATATCATTCAGGATATCAAATGTGCATACCCACAGACCAATCAAGTAAGCTGCAGAAATCTTGTAGCGGTAGCCCCGCTGACATGTTCAAGTAGGTGGTAGACAAAAAAGATACTGTTTTAGACATTTTTGAATCGTTATACTGGAAATGTTAATGACATTTTTAGCATATTATTAGTATAATTGTGCATAATATATTGTAACCAATACTTTGAATGGTCGGTTTTTCTCTTAGTAATTCAACAGGGTGGTTTGTGGCATGTGATTTATTTGGAAACCTTCTCGATCCCTACTATTAAGTACTACAGTACTTAATAATATATTTATGTAACCATTGACAACCACAACAAAAAATTTTCTAGAATAATAGTTTAAGAAAGTCACACTTAGTAACAAACCACATGACAATTGAACAATCATTAAAACACTTAAATTAAAAAAAAAGTTTCTTAAAAACTAAATCAATAATAATAAAAGCCTCCGTGTGTGTGACCAACATAGCTCCAAGAGGAAAAAAACCTAGAAACCTGAAATTTTTTACACATACTAAGTAAGGTGATTCTGATGATGTACACCTGGGTATTATTTTTTAGATTTGAAAATTTTTTTAGCCCTATAGCACTTAAGCCCCACAGTTCTGTTTACTGAAGGTCTATAAAAGAGCATCTTTTTTTTTTCTCTAATTCTCACTTACTGAATGAACAATATGTGGAGGTTTTCTGCCAAATACTCTTTTCACCATAAACATGGGAAAAAAAATATAAATCAGAGAATTAAAAAAAAAGTTGAATTAAGTTTGGGAAATGGCAACAAACAATGGGAAGAAAAATATAAATTAGGGAATATTGGAGAAATGAGACAATGAAAAGAATTCAAATACAAACACAGAAAGAAAAAAAATTAATCTGAGAAGCTATATCAAAATTATTTGCTTTCAAAAACAGTTGAATTAAGTTCAAAATAGCAACACAAATCAATTAAACAATTGGTGCATTGGGGGTAGCTATTGAAGTAATTAAGATAATGGAGATGCTTGGCTGGTGCATTGAGGCCTCTGTGAATCATGAGGGGACCTCAGAATGAAGCAGTGAAGTGTGGGTATTTTATGCTAGTCTGCAATAAAACTTATAAATCATTTAGAGACAGGAAAATCACAAAGACTTTAAAAACTTCACGATATATAAAAAAAACTAACTATATCCTCCAGCAACAATTTACACAATAACCATACAGAATATGAAATTGTCACTGACCTACATATTATACATCATTGGATATAGCACATAAAGTTTGGTTGAAATATTAAATTGTTCTTTACTTTAACGTAGTTTTAATCTTATATATATATATATATATATTGCAAAATGTGGTGTCTGTCAAAGCATTCATCTGTCTTCTGTTTAATAGCAGCCTCTTCCCATGCTGCGTTTGAAAGGCTGTGCATGCAGGCAAAGCTCAACATTCACTTTTGAAATGACAAAAAAATGAGCAGGAATAATGTTGATGCCAAATTTTATTTTTGCAAGCAGGATATTCTACACTAAATTGTTAGGAATTAATCATACTATCATTCACATTTCAAAATGTGATGTAACTTAAACAATAAAATGTAGATTTACCGTATGTTATTGTTGAATAGCCCTTAGCATGACTGAAATGCTTAACAATTACTTTTCATGGTGGGTGGTATAAGTAGCAACAAGGGTGCAACACAATTAACCTTTTTAAAGTCAAAGAAATAATTTAAATTGATAGATTAAGTTAAACTTTTCCCATCAGTAGGGATGGATACTTTTGCTTGTAATTTATAATTCATTTATTATACCTATCATTAAGTCATAATGCTTTCCTTGTAGTTTCTTTAACAATTTTCATTTTCAAGTTTCTTTTTAAATAAATTTCATTTGTACCACAATAATTCCTAACTAATAGTTTGCTCTAAAACTTATGTGCACGTTTAGGTTTGTTAACAAATTATACATACAAGTTAGTATATTGCTGTTACTCATATGGTCTTATGTGCACTATGAAAAATATACCAGCAGGTTTTTTAATAAGTCCATTTCTTTATTATAACCCACATGCACAACATTTTTATTCTGTTGTAATGGTGAAAATTCCATTTTCTTATAAACATATCTGTACGACTTAAATATATGGTATATTAATTTCAATTACATGACTATAAATTGTAATTTATATCAGTATTTCATGATTATGTTTAACTTTTTAAAGTCTTATAACATTACATATTTGTACTCATGAGTGAATTACATTTAAAAAATTACTTACATTTCCAAAGTTATTCAGAGTTGTATCCCCTTTTCCTGTCCATTCAACAATTGACAAAACTTTATATGCAGCTTTACAAAAACTATCATTTTCTTCTTGCATACTTCACTCAGAATAGTCAATATTCTTCTCTGAAAAAAACAATTAATGCCCTCTGGGACAAATATATTATTCACACGTTACAAATTGAACAAGTTGTGTCGTCAACTCAAATGAGATATAAAGATATTTCAACAAAACAGTACATACATTGCTATATACTAATTTACCAGTTAAATGAAACCACCTTTTGTAACATGTAATAAATAATAATAACTTGCATTTTGTGTAATCATCATGTCTAAGCCTAAACTATGATGCAACTCTCATGTGATACTCCAAATACAAGGTATTTCTCATTGACTGGTTTCTAACATAGTTATGTAAATTATTTTAGGTATATGGCAGTCATGTATGATTAACTGCAGTGTATAAATACCTGTCTTCTGAGTTAGATAATAAGTTTTAGTTGGTATTTTTGGTTTGACAGTTGTTTGTGTCCATGTGATAACTTGTAGGAATTCACTATGCATCTTTACTGAGCTAGTTGAGGCCATAATAAATGACCTAGTTGCATTTACATGATTCAGATCAATCCAAATACTTTCCATAGAATGTTCAGAGTGAGAAATATTATTATGCTCTTCTCCTGTAAAAACATAAAAGAACATTTAAAACCTCAGGTATCTTAGTATTCAACACAAACCTTGCCATTAGCATCCCTTAAAGGCCTGACTACCATTTCAACATTTAGCTTACTTTTAAAATACATGAAAAACATATTTGCTGTTAGTTTTAACACTGTCAGCCAGCTGTTTATCATAAGCCCTTTCTGATTTCCATTTTAGTAAGATCCCTGGTTTTCCTATAATCCTTAAAACCTTCCATACTAGGTATCTGTAAATTTAAACTTAGGTATTTATTTCTAATTTACTCCTTTGCTTTTTAAGTCAATGATGTTTAGTCATTTGCATTACATTCTTTCTCTTGTTATGTACATGACTACCTTAAATTAGAAATCAATATATTTTTTAAAAAATTCTCCAATCTATCCTTTGTATTTTAAATTGAAGCTTTAGAAAAAAAAACAACAAAAAACATTTAAAATATGTTAATGTAAGGTGGCACATACAATTAAACAGATTCATGGGCAAGTTTTGTGTTAAGTTCTATTGGAGGGAGGGGGGAAAAAGATTAATTTTCTTTTCCCATAGGCATACCTTAACATGCCAATGGCAAGTGTAGAACACTCATTAAAAATAAGATACTTATAGTTATACTTTTGTCTACATGTCCTTGGTCAAAGAAGATGGTTGGTAATGGTATAAATGTAAGAGATAGTATTAGTAAAGAAGAATTGAGTTTTATGTTAACATAAACTAAAGTGAGCAAGCCAACAGTCAATCTATAGTATAACTCATTTACTGACTCAGGACATTGCAGTTCTTAACAATGTAACACTACACATAGGCGTTTGGGTAAGCCATAAGCTGGGGGGGGGGGGAAGAGTTTAGCCTCAAGTACCCCCGTAGGGATGCCGTTGAGAGGCGTGTTTTTTAGGTTATCCTAAAAAATCCACTTATCGTGCTTTTTCCATGCACGTAATCATATATCTTAATTGATGTTTTTTGTAATTTGACTCTGAAACTCCGTAGTCCGATAATATACCCCCCTTCTATTAGTCTACACACTTTGATACTACACTTCGATCTTAGCCAAAAGGCTGAGAAGCGATACTATTAGTCTAATTCTATTTTTACGCTTATGTCACTACACAACAAAAGTACAGTACCACAGTTAATAATAATACTAAGCTAATACTACCGCGTTAGTGTTATACTTTATAGTTATACAAGTTATAGTGTTAAGACTTAAGTCTTAAGCTCACTACATTCACTTTTCACAATTTCATTTTCAGTTACCTACATCTAAATCACTTAATTCTCATTTGACATTATTTTCCTCAACAGAATTACTCACTTTACTTTCGGTATTGTACCCTTTAACGTGGTATTCCTAACATTAAATTAAAAAAAAAAGAAGAAACTGTACATTCCAATAACCAAATGGAAAACCTAAATAGTAAATGATAGGACAATAACTCAAGCTTACATGTAATAACAAGTGCTCCACGATAATACGATTGTAAATACCGCTGATAAAACATACCTCTTTCGGATAAAATTGAAACTATTTCTCTAGAACTGAAGTTGAAAGCCTGGTGAAATACACTGAAAATAAAAATATTTTATTACAGACTTCTGAAACTAATTAACATCAACGAAAATTTCGCATCAACTATTTTCAACTTATAAATTATGAGCTATTTTATAATATACATTTATCATCTCCCCCAGCGGACTTACAACGTTAGAAACCGGATTTTGATATCCGTGGTGGGCAGAGCAGAAGTAGCCCATTGTGTAGCTTTGTGCTTAACTACAAACAAATAAACCAATTCCCTTTTATTTTACACATAATGAAACACCAAATATATTGTCTTTATTCCTCATCCATATTATATATATAATAAAAGGTAGAGTTGTTTTTGTTTTGTTTTTCTTGTTCGCTTATTTTCATATCAGCATGATCCGTTAAATACCACAATACACTGCAAACAACAATTAAAGTATAGGCAAAATATATAACGTTTTACCAATAACAAGGCAAAACCCACAGTTATAAAACGCTGGCCATCGCCAGTTCATTTACGCACAAATTAAATACCTGATAAACTGCCCTGTGATTTGAAATGCAAATAACTGGTAATTTAGCCTATGCTTGTGAATTATCTGTATTAATTTATACAAGTATTTTACTTTTTTAAATTTATTTGATCGAGTGGAGGCCCGGTGTTATAATCGTGCAGTAGATGAGTAAAGCTCGTGTTTCTATCTTCTTATATTTGTTATTTATTTTTAATTCGATTTTTATTCTGAATATGTGCTGATTTTACATAACATGTAATTGAGAAAACTGTTAAATTGATCTTGTTTCAAGTTACCTTGTGTTCCAGTTATTCTCTTCTTTGTCATAGTGACGATTGTGCATTGTGTTTTACACTTCGTTTGCAGTCCTCTATTTCATTTTACATCAAATCAGTTAGTAAGAGTTTTAGTACTACTCCATAATCGATATCCTGATCGGATCTCTATGTTATCAATAGACATGTCCGGTGCAGCTCTAGAGTTAATTCTGTTTCACCAGGATATACCACAGAATGGATAGGTAGGATTCTTTTTGTGATTCTTTGTTTGTAATTAAGCACAAAGCTAAATAATGGGCTACCTGTGCTCTACCCACCATGGGTATCGAAACCCTGATTCTAGAGTTATAATTCCGCAGACATACCGCTGTGCCACTGGGGCGGATAGGTAGTGGAAATTCTGGTGTCATGACTGCAGAATATTACTATCGCAGAATTTGCTACGTCTGTTGAAGTGAGTGCTGTTCTTTACTTGAACTCTTGTGCATTAGGTTTAAAAGGCTTCTAGGTTAGAGAAAATGGCATTTTCCTCAACTTTGAGGACCTATAACTGAAAAGAAGAGTCAATCACTAAATGTAGATGTTTGTCCGAGAAAGTTTTGGGGTCTACAAAAAGTTGTCTCCTGTATGTAGTACTTTTACTAATGATGCAGAGGTCCATAACCACAATCTTTATTTTTTAACTGGTGACCCAGGAAGAGAATTGCCAAACGCCTGTACACGCAGATTAATTGATCAAGATCATTCCCTGAGGATCAACTTTGGTGTGATGAAAACACAGACTGGGGATCAGCGTGGTAATGTGGTATCTAGTCAGTCTGAAACCAGCTTGTTCAGTCGGTTCAGCCGGAGTAACTCAACCCAAGCTAGTGCAGAGAGAATGGAGGTACCATTGGTAGATTATATCTGCTAACTATAGCTATATTCCCAGCAAATGAGACTACCAATTTAGTAAACATGATCCACAGAGGAGCTTGGGGTCGAGTAGAGCCGTCAGACTAGCTGTCTTGAGCACATTGTTATTCTTCCATCGTGTATCAGGAGCCTACTGCTTGTCAATATGTCAGAGCCCAAGACAGCCCCTACTATATTTCAGTCAGGTGATAGTCAGGAGATTGAATTTTCAACTATGATCACAGTTCTCCCTGAGCAAAGCAAAATAAATCACTTTTCCAACATTTAAGGACACAGTAAAATAATATCTGGACCATTTCCTGAAGTGCTGGAAGGAGATACCTGCCTGTAATGGCTAGACTCTAAAACGGGCTGTACTGGATTAGTCCTAGACTAAATCAAGCAAATGAATGAGGAACAACTATAGGACTATATGACAGTCTCTTCTACCTTGCACTAAAGTTTTGATCCAATGGGGAAAAGGGCAATCTATCAGGCAGAGTTAAAGGCTCAAAAGAGGGGTGACACTAAACGCTTATCCACTTAGTGAATGGTCTGCATTAGTTATATGATAAAGTTTAGCCCAAAATGGCCTCAGTGAATCCTTGTAGACAAGTTTATGTAAGGGCTATACATCAAACAATACAACATCAGCTGAGTGTGAGAGACCTTCTCACCTTTAATGAGGCAATTTCTGCAATGATGCATTACAAAGTCGAAATTTCTAGCCAGTCCTAATACCTTTGCCTCGGAAAGATCATCCTACCCAGACATACTCATCACATCACTTTCAAACCCAGACAAGAGTTAACCAAACAACCACACGTCCCAGCATTGTGATCCAACCACTCTGTTCCAGTCCTTCCATTGTTTACATGTCACAGCACAAGCCACTGATGCCTATACACAGATATTGTCTTTTAAGGGAAGAGCAAAGCATGTGCTTTGTCTGTAGTGCATTGGATTACTTTTGAGTGAACTGCCCTACCTTGCAAAGCAGGCAAAGTGTGTACAGCTATTGGTTTCGAATGACAGTACAACAGGTTCAGGATAGTTATCAACAGGCAGTAAATACTGCATTATGCACCTCAAGGAAACTAGGAGCCCAAGTCAAACATAGCAACTAACAAGGTGAATTTTGAAATGTGTCTGTCGAAGTACAAATATGAAAGACAGAATTCTTTACTGATAAAGGAGTGGCTTGAAAGCGGGTATATCTTGTGTTATATCAGTTGCTCCAAGCAAAACCACCACTCAGTCCTGTAGAAACAAATGTTCTCTGAAATGGAGATAAACTATTTGTATATTAAATGAAGGTAATTGTCGGAATGGATACACTGAGTGGCTTATTTGTCAGTTTTGCCTGTAATGTTCCATGGTTTACTATGGACAATGTGTTGTATGTCAGTGCCATGTAATGCAATTATTAAGCTCACAGATGAAATAGGTTGTTTTCTTAGGTATCTTAACTATCTCAGGTAGTTATCTGTCCAAGAAGGGGTGAAGTCATAATGTTGTTCTACATTAATGGAGATTAGTTATTCAACTACAAACTGGAATAGTCAAAGGCTGCATGGTGTACTAAATGGAAATGGATAATGTTAGTAGACATTAGGGTTTCATCCATCATGCTGTGTCCAAAAGTAAATATACTGATACCATCACATCTGATATTGCTTATTGAGGATTGTGATGAAAATCTTGACTTGATATAGAAGCAGCAAGTCAGTTAGTTGTTGACAAAAAATGGCAATGTACTTATGGGACCGAATAGCTGATTGAGTCAAATCATAGCTACACAACATCATATAGATGCAGGTGATGCAAATCCCATTATTAGACTACTGCTTCACAAGCTTCCCTGGATTACTATGTAGGTAGCCAGCAGTTGACTACAGAGGTTGTTAACGGACAGAATCATGCAGCTTTCAGAAAGTACTGGATTGTATCCATTAGTGATTATAGAAGGAAGGTACATTCAGGTTTTTCGTTAAATATAGATTAGTGAACGTAATAAGTTGCATTATCGACTTTCCATTACCATGAACAAATGAATGACTGCATGCATTGAAAGGTCCCATTGGATCAATACTTTAGACTAGGCATCTATCTATTCGTATGTACATGTCGATGAACTGTGATCATATGTGTTCCTTACTTTTCAAGCTATTGGTTGGTATAGTAAGTTACAATGTATGCATTGTATAGTATGTTTACCACTTGATCATTAGAGCAGGATGATCTTCAGGTCAATCATGTAATGATTGAACAAAAATGGGATCCTTGATTTCTAAGCTGTCAAATGATGTTCACCATGCAATGCATACATTACATTATATCATTTCCACTTTATTACCAGAAATCTAGCCTGTCTGTTGCCAGTAAATGTAATATCTAAGGCATTGCCATTTTGAAGAACTGAAAATGATAGACAGAAGTCCGAAAACACAGTCAAAAAGGCTTTGCGACTTTTGCTTTCCGATCTAATGAGTGATTTTTTCAAGGTGAAAAGTTGAAAGAATCTACTGCAAAAATCACTCACCTGATCTAGATGAGTAGCAAAATGTCCACATAGGATACAGCATAATCTTTGCTAAATCGTTTTTCCTGAACAAGTAGAAGGTGTATAACTTCTCTACATGCAGTAATGGCTTAATGTTCCATTTAGGTATATATTGATATATACTATAGTAACAGCACAAATAATTAATTCCAGCTTACGAAACTTTTAGCTGAACTCATTCAGGTTAGTGATTATTTATTTTATGATTCCTGAAAAGGTGCTCACAAATATCAGCATTTTACTAAAAGATAACTACCAGCCAGTAGCTTTGAAAAGTAACCTGAGATGGTTTACAAAATAGTTTTAGTGGGAACCAGTGGCAGTCTGTTAAAATCTTTAGTGTATGTAATAATGTGTAATAGAAATGCATCCATATGACAATGTATATGTCTGAATAAATACACCTGTGTGGTTCCACACGCAAAGAGAAACATTACATGATGTCATTGGACATTCAGGATCTGGCTTTCATATTTCCTGGGGCCATGCTGCCTTAGTGAGTGGTGGACTTTTTAC